TTAGCATGAACGAGGTTTATCGGCCGCTGCTGGATAAATGCCTCATCGTGTACCTCGACGACATCTTGATCTACAGCACTACCCGGGAGCAGCATTTGAAGGATTTGGAAGCAGCAGCACCGACTCATCACCAAGGGCTCTAAGTGCGAGTTTCTCCTTCAGGAACTGGAGTTTTTGGGACACGTCATTTCGATCGACGTCGTTCAGATCGGCCCCAAGAAGATCGCGATAATCCAAGACTGGAAACTGCGGCTAATCTCCGTGAACGTAAGAGTTTTCTAGGTTTTGTGAATTACATCCCGAACATGGCGGGGGTAACTTCCCCTCTCACCTATCTACTGAAGAAGGGAAAGTTTTATGAGTGGGGGGGAGAGCAGCAGGCTGCGTTGAACAGCTCAAAAATTTCCTGACTACACCTCCAGTTCTTCGGATTGCAGATCCTCACCGTCCGTTCGAGGTCATCACCGACGCTAGCGATCTGGCCATGGGCGCAGTACTGTTACAAGACTTCGGCGAAGGCCTCCAACCCATCGCCTACGAGTCACAAAAGCTGAACCCGGCCGAGCAAAATTATCCTGTCCACAACAAGGAGTTAGTCGCCATCGTTCGCGCTTTCAAAGTCTGGCGCTGCTACCTGACGGGTACTGACGTGACAGTCCGAACAGACCACAAGTCGCTACAGTTCATCCGCGCCCAACCGACACTGAATCCCCTACAGATTCGCTGGCTTGATTTCCTCGAGTCCAACTTCCACTACAGAGTCACCTACAAATGGGGGGTTAGCAACGTCGCCGACGCACTGACCCGCCCTTCAGTCCACACCGCCGCAGTCCTAATTACCCAAGCTAATCCACTGCTAACTGGCCTATTCACCCACGGATACAGTACTGGCCCATTCTTCACCACTAACAATCATCCCCAACTGACGGTCAAGCAAGGGGACTATCACCTAAAATCCGGCACCAATCGGATTTGGATTCCCCCCTACCGTACCCTACGGGAATTACCGATCCAGGAGGCACATCACTCGAATTTCTCGGGTCACTACGACGTGGACAAAATTGCCAAACTACTGAGCCGTAATTATTACTGGCCCGACCTGCCGACAGACGTGCAGCAGTACGCCACCTCCTGCGCCACGTGTCAACGCATGAAGTCTTCACGACATCAACCTGCAGGATTGCTACAGCCGCTCGTGCCACCCAGCCAACCCTGACAACAGGTGACGATGGATTTCGTCACTGGCCTGCCAGCTGGTCCAAGCAGTAACGACACGATTCTCGTCGTCATTGACCGGTTGACCAAGATGGCCCACTTCGTCGCCTGCAAGACAACGATTACTGCCGAGCAGACAGCGGAGCTGTTCCTCAGGAACATCGTGCGGCTAAACGGCATCCCCTTAGCAATCATTAGCGATCGTGACCCACGGTTCACGTCCAACTTCTGGACAAAAACATGGCAGCAATACGGCACACGTCTGCATCTATCCACAGCGTATCACCCACAATCTGACGGCCAGACTAAGCGCACCAATCAGACGATGGAGCAGCTGATTCGCACGACATGCACAGACCCGGCCCAATGGGAAGACTCCCTTTCCTTGATCGAGTTTGCATACAACAACGCCCCATCGGCCACGATTACTCAGTCCCAGTTCTTCCTTAATTACGTGATCCGACAAACCCGCTATCGCCGCCGATAGAAAACCCGGCACCAAGATCTCAGCAGTTCGTCGAGAATCTCCGACAGTCTCAGAATAAAGCCGCTGATGCCATCCTCAAAGCCAACCAGAGGGCTAAGCAGCAAGCTAACCGACGATGCCGAGACTTAAAGCGAGGGGCTAAAATATTAAGGCGGGTCCAACTTGAAACCAAGGGACCCTCGATTCTTTCTAAGGGGTTGTTAGTTAGCCTTACTCGGCAGAACCAGGGAAGTTCCATAACGCAGCCGCGCTGTTCAGAGCGAACAAGCGCGAGCACACGATTGGCTGGGAAATTTGTAGGGCAGGGTTTGCGAGCTGTCACAGGTCGCAGGTACTTGTGCGACCCCATTGCCTTGTCATTCTCCAAGTGGGCCCAACTTGATTTTCAAGTTGGACCCGGGTTCACTACTCATGGAAAAACACAACTGGTTTTCTGATTGGTCGAAATTTCTCCCCACCTATAGCTACCATATCAAGGTGTGTTTAATTCGACTACCCGCCAACCACACTTTTCCCATTGCGTGTCCCCCCTTTTGACTTTGACTGAACCGCAACCAATCCAGGTCGACAAAATACGGTAACAAACGAGCCTCAACGAGGCGCGCTAGCTAGTATTATGGGTATAAACAAAACCGTGTCCACATATCCGAATTTGTCGCGCGGGCAGGTGCTTGTGCTGCTGAATGACTGCCCGCCCCGAAACGACGTTTTCTTCTGCCCGCTCGTTTGTCCCCCCTACATCTGTTCAAGGGTCCCAATCAAGTTGGGCCCAACTAGGAAGATGGGTCACTATTATAACCTCTCGCTTTAATGCTTGCCCCGGGGCAATTGGTCCTGCTCGATACCCAAAATTTGGGAATTCACCTCCCAAATAAATTACGACCAAGATTTTGCGGCCCATTCCGCATCATCCGCATGGTGACACCAGTCACCCTCACTCGTCTCGTCGTCACGCTCGGCGGTGACGAAGCGAGCGACGGAACTCATGTCGCCCGGGCCGAATGGCAGGGCGAGCATGATCTGCTGCACTGGCTCGATCTCTGAATCCAGCTGGGGCTCCTGCTCTTTAGAAGTAGCGCCGAGGAGAGGTAGCAGCGGCTGCTAGGTGGCGGGCAGCATTCGCGTCCTCCAGAAGCACTTCTGGATGGTTGCGGTGTCCAAGCCAAGACACGCATCCGACACCCATGTTACCACCTGCCACATCTCGGGCTTCCACTTCAAAATAGCGAAGACGGTGATGCCCGGGATCTGCCACTGTGCGAGAACTGCCTGCAGCAACTCCACCTTGTAACGTGCCTTCAGAGCGGCGATGAGGCCCTGGTCCAGAGGCTGAGTGAACGGGGTCGTGTTCGGCGGCAAGTACACGAGGCGCGTCCAAAACCCGCAGATGTCGGCTGACGTCGCGAGAGGGGATTGGAGGAGGTGACTCGATGCGTTGTCGAGCATGACGACGATGCGGCGTCCTTCCGCCATGCAGCACGCATTAACGTGCTCGAAGAACACCGTAAAAACCTGCACGGGGCATATGGGATAGACGGGTGTGTAACCGACTGTTATTCGTATCACACGCCACATATTTCATCAGTAGCAGTACTTCGCAGGGTCAAATTTCTGCTTTGCGAAGCAACGGGGCCGCTCAAACTTGTGAATGATGAGCTGCTTGAAAAGCTTCGAGCCGTCCGCATTCACCAGCACCGCGTCTGTAAGCCGGTCCTGGCAGACCTTCTTGCCCGGGGTAGGGTTGATGCAGAATGTGTGGTCGGGGAGGAGACTGTAGTAGACACATGTCTCGTCGATGTTGAACATGTTTTCCGGGGTCAGGCCAAGCTGGTCGCACAGCCTCGGGAAATGTAGCTGCACGGTCAGTGTGGCGCCCTCGTCGGCAGATTTCGCTTCGCCGCTCATCTTACGCCACTTGAATCCCATTCGGCGCAGTGCTTTCTGCACCCATCCAACAGAAGCTTTAAACTCGCTAGGCACGTTGCACTCGGGGGCTAGCAGTATCGCGCGCTGCTGGATTAGAGTCGTCGAAACTGGCAAGCCAGCACCATTCGTGCTTTTCAACCAGCTCTTGAGTCGAGCTTCAAGTAGAGACCAATGTGGGCTACGCACCCTTTTGAACTTGGCGCGTTCGGGCCCGATGGCCCGCCTCTTCTGTTCGGTTTGCAGAACTCGCCCGACTGTGCTGCGATCCGGCCACATGCCGTATCTGATGTGGCACTATCGCCCAATGTCTTCGAGCCGCAAGGTCGGGTTCTTCTTGGCGTATTGGCAGATTACAACCTTCTGCCCGATGGCGAGCGCAACACGGCGCACAGGTGCCATGTGGATGACCTTGTGGGTTTGGCGGGCTCGTTCCTTGTGTCGTGAAGAGGTCGCTGTTTGGGGCGTATAAATAACCCTGGAGTGTTGGCACTACTAGCGGGGGGAACAATGTTGGGAACCCTCTGCTGCTTCCGTGGCGCGCTCGTATTGGCTGTGGGTGGACGGATTTTCCTGGGGCAACGCCGACGGATTCCGTTGGAATGGCTGGCGCAATTTTGCTGTCTACAAGCTGGTCGTATCTAGGGCATCATGTGGATTTTTGCCTCAACATTGGTTGGCGAGCCTCACACATCTGGATTTTTTTAGGCTCGCTGACCACTAGGTGTGGTCGCTCTGAAAACACAAGAGCAATCTTATTGGACCCCCTTGGATCAGCCGAATTGACTCTCTATTTTACTGTTGAGTTGAGACGGATACACTTGGCGTACAACGAGAGGCCCTTAAAGCAAGAGGTTAAAATTGTGACCCCTCTTTCTAGTTGGGCCCAACTAGAAACGACCCTTGAGCGAATGTTTTGCTTCACGTCGGGCAGCAGCCCGGATTTTTTTGCTTGTCTTGGGCCACGAAATCGAATTGCACCTGCGACGGGAATTTTATCGTGACAGATTGTACAGCCACTAGCATGCGCAGACAATAATTTCGACCAATCGGCAACCAGCCTTGGTTTAGCAGGCGTAGAGAACCCGGTATCAGAAAGAAAATGATTGAACTAGAATGTGTGTGTACAAGGATATATAGACTAGGGTGTTGTACCCTCTAAGGCACAATCCAGTATAGTCTACAGTAACAACCTAAGTTACATTTGACACACCCCCTAGACTATATAGGGGCAGTGCCTAACAAGGGAAGAAGCAGCTCAGGGCGGCACTACTAGTCCAGCCACTGAGACAAGGGTCTAAAGACCAGTCAAAAAGAGTACAGACAAGGCAAGAGCAAGCCAAGGGCGGCACTACTAGTCCAGCCACTGGGAGAGGCCACAAGGCAAGTCTGGGTAAAATATATATATAAAGGACAGTACAAAGTCAAGGCCCTAGCAAGTGAGAGGCTACAGGAACGAGACCGAGCTGTACATAGTGTCGCTGATGATCTTGAGGCGCAAGCGCCTTCGTAAAGATATCAGCTGTGTTGGCACCGGAGGCCAAGTGTACTACGTGCGCCTGGCGACGCTGCTGCAGCTCACGTACGAGGAAGTACTGCAGCTGAATGTGCTTCGCTCTGCCCTCGAGTCGAGGCTCCTGACACAGGAGGATCATGGCCCTGTTGTCAACGTACAGGACCGGGGCAGAGCTAGGCCGCTCACCTAAGTCAGTGAGCAAGGTCAGCCAGCGCAGCTCCTGTGCCGCCATGGCACCGGCGTAGATCTCGGCCTCACAGCTGGACTGGGCAACAGACGAGGAGCGGGTAGCTCTCCACGAGACGGCACCTGAACCAAGGCTGAAACAGTAGCCCTGTGAGGACCTAAGGGTCTCGGCGTCGTCTGCCCAAGAAGCGTCTGTGTGTCCAGTAAGGACCACTGGCCTACGTACTCCTAGCACTAACCCCATGCCCGATGTACTTGCAAGATAACGCAAAACCCTCTTAGCGGCAGACCAGTGCTGAGGTCGGTGTCTGCCTGTTGCCACAAAGCGAGCCAGGATGCTGAGAGGGTATGCGAGATCTGGGCGCGTGCAAGTCATCAGGTATATGAGGCAACCCACCAGCTCTGCGTAAGGACCACTGGGCTCTGCTCACTCCTCAGGAACAGGAGCGGAGAGCCTGTGGTCTAGAGGCAGAGGAGTAGGCTGTGCAGAGGAGAACTGAAGGCCGAACCTCTGAAGGACCTGGCGCACCAAGTGTGACGGAGTCAAAGTGATGGTGCGGGCTGCTCTGTCCCTGGAGATCTGCAAGCCAAGGTAGTGGCGCAGTTCTCCAAGGTCAGTGCAGGTGTGTCTCTTCAGCAGCTCCGCCTTCACGGAGGCCAGTGCGTCCCTGTCTGCCGTGGCGAAGACCAGGTCATCTACATAAACAAGGATGTAGAACGGAGTCTGGCCAGCTCGAACGAAGAGCGAGGGGTCTGTAGAGGACGGAAAGAAGTGCAGGTCAGCAAGCGTAGCACGCAGCGTGTCGTGCCACTCATGAAGAGCCTGCCGAAGGCCGTAGACGGGGCGCCGGAGGAGCCACTGGGTCCCAGGAGGGAAGGTACCAGTGAAGCTCTGAGGGCGACGCAGGTAGACCTGCTCGTGTAGACTGCCCTGAAGAAATGCAGTGGAGAAGTCGAGGGAGTGAAGCTCGCAGTCACGCGGCGCTGCTACGTGTAGTAGCACCCGAAGAGTAGTCATCTTCGGGGTCGGAGCGAAGGTCTGGAAGAAGTCCACCCCCTCACGCTGACTGAAACCTCTAGCCACGTAGCGCGCCTTGAACACAAGCGGCTCTCTAGGGGGGCGCTTCACCTTGAAGAGCCAGCGGCCATCAACTACGTTCACCCCAGGTGGGGGAACTGCGTCGACGTAGGTGCCAGTGGATCTCCAAGATGCCATCTCCTGCTCCATGGCAGCTATCCACTGAGAGGCCCAGGGTCCCGAGACCGCCTCAGCGTAAGTGCGAGGGGTCGGGATGTCGAAAGCGTCGAGGTCACCTTCAGGGACTAGAAGCATGGAACTGAGATGGGGAGCAGCCTCGGATAGGAAAGCAAGCTCGTACTGGCGGTCCTCCAGGACGTCACTGCCAAGGGCAGGAGCACCCCCGACAGACGGAGGACAGGCAAGGTAAGAGACCAGAGCGGTGGCTTAGTCAAGGCGGCGGGTAGAGGCGAAGTTAGCGACCGCAGCGACAAGGGCGTCAAGGCTCGAAACCGGAACAGACGGGTCGGAAACGAGAGAGGCAAGGACCCGAGGAACAAGAGGACGAGCGGCACACAGGTAGTCAGATAGAGGGGGGAGAGCAACGACAAGGGAGGACGGAGGGGGCGACGAGAGAAGGGGAGGACGGGACGCGTGGGAACGAAGCAACATAGGGTGAGAGTGCAAGACAAGGGAGACAGGTCGAGCACGGGAGGGACGGCGAGACCAGACGTGAGACGGGGGAGTCGGGTCAGGAGACAGAGGAGGGGACACAGGAGGGGAACGAGGGGGGAAACGGGCCGGAGACGCGTCCGGAGGAGGGAACACAGGGCCGGAGACAGGAGGAGGAGAAGGCACGGGCACAGGGTCAGGGGACGGAAGGCCGAGCAGGCGAAGAGCGGACACCGGCGGGGACTGCTGTGACGGCGGTGTGACGCCGACACCGGGACCACAAGCTGCCGGGCGGCTACCTCCAGAACACTCCACACCAGCACCCCCAGAAGAAACACCCCCAGAGCTCAGAACCCCTCGAGCACCGGTACCACCCCCAGGCCCACCGGGACAAGCCACGACAGGAGTCCCAGGACTAGTACCCACCCCAACTCCGGCACCCCTTGAGGCAACCAACTGCTGCGGCGACGGCTGCGGCGGCGGCGGTCGCAACGACGACGGCGGCGGTGACGACGGCTGCGACAGCGCTGGCGACTGCGGCTGCGGAGGCTGCGGAGGAGGGGACACCTGAGAAGGGGCAGGCGGTGAGGACTGCGCCGCAGTCTACCAGAGTTAGTAGACTCCTCAACCGGTACAACCGACGTAAGTGGGGTGACGTGGGAAACACCTGAGGGGGCAGGATGGGGAGGGGGAGGAGGAGGGGCGGCGACGACCGGGGAAGGGGTGACCAGGAACACGGGGGGGGTAACCGGGGGACCTCAGTGGGGGAAGCGCCGGAATAAGGAGACGGACTCGTCAAAGGTGACGTCACGGGAGTGAAAGAACCTGTGAGACGGCGGGTGGTAGAAGTGCCAGTCAGACGCGTCAAGGGGGAAGTGGAGGAAGACACAGGGAAGGGTGCGGGCAGTGAGCTTGTCCGTGCCAGAGGCACGAACGTGAGCAAGACAGCCCTAGACGTGGAACGCAAATGCGTCACTAGGTGACCCAGACCAAAGGAGGGTCGGCGAAACCTGAGGCTACTGGGGGTGCGGCCACAGATTAAGCTGGTGAGCGGCGTAGCGAACGGCGAACGGCCACAGAAAATGGGGTGCACCGGCATGGATCATGGAGGTGCGAGCCACCTCCATGACCAAACCGATGCGTCGCTCAGCGACCCCATTTTGCTGCGGGGAGTCCGGCAGGGTGAACGTCTGGGTGATGCCCTCCGCACGACAGAAACGACCAAGAACACCAGAGGCAAACTCCCCACCACGGTCGGAGTGGAGGCGCAAGACAGGGAGACCGCGATGGACACGCGCAGCGACAAGCCACAGGATAAGAACGTCAGGCACGTCGGCCTTCCGCTCTAGGGGGAACATAGTGGTGTAGCGCGTGTAGTCGTCGACAAGCACTAAGAAGTAGCGCTCTCGACGCGCCCCATGGAAGGGGGCGGGGCCCCAGACGTCCATGTGCAGAGTCTGTAGCGGTGCGGCGGTAGGGGGAAATGAGGAGGAGTGAGGAGCATGGCGAAGCCGGCCCTCGACACAAGGCATGCAAGGTGGGGCAGGGGAGGAGGGAAACTCAGAGAACGACCCAGGGAGGCCTACGACGAGACCGTGCTGTGACATGTGACGCAGACGCGGGAGCGCAGGGTGACCTAGACGGTGGTGCCACAGGAGAGTCGGGTGGGTGAGTGACTAACAGGAGCAGGCAGAAGCAACCTGGGTAGTCGCAGCCACCTGAGGGGGGTCCCAGCCGGGGGGGTCACAGTGTCCAGTGTGAACAGTCCGGACACCGGGTCCCGGGGGAACGTGGTAAGGGGGGCACCAGTGGCGGCCTCGGTACAGACAGCGTACCGCTCGTGACCAGGGAACGTAGTGGTGACGCCAAGGTCCTGGAGGCAGCCGACACCGACTAGGTTCCTGGAGAACAAGGGGATGTGCAGGCCTGTGAGAGAGCCTGAAGGAACCGCCGGGCAGGGGAGGGTGGTGGAACTGCGGGCAACTACAGGGCCAAAGGAGGGTTCAGCTAGGGAGACGGCGGCAGGGACAGGAAGCGGTGTCAACGTGGTGGAGTCGCGGAAGAAGCACCGGGAAGCGCCAGAGTCGAGGGTGAAGGAGAGCGCGGCAGTGGCGGCCGGAGGCGAAGTAGCGACGGAAGCACCAAGGCTAAACAAAGCAGGGGATCCTACGCCTGACGCAGCAGGGGAGTCTAAGGAAGGCACACCTACACTAGGCAACAAGGGGTAATAAGACGGAAGCACACTAGAGTCATCAGCATACATTACATGCATTGCAGCAACAATCTCATCCATGTCCAGATAAAAAATCTGAACCCTACGACTAAGCAAGTTGTGCCAGTCTGGGAGCTTGGGCAACGGGCCGAAACGCTGACGAAACAGGTCGTCCAGGCGACGGAAACAGCAGACGGAGATATGACCGATCTTACCGCAAACGAAGCCACGGCGAGGACCGGTCTGAAGCAGGTACTGACAGCGCGTGGCACCCGAACCACCACTCGGCAGCCCACCACGCGCACCACCACCACGTCCAGCGCTGCCACGAGCGCCGGGCCACCCAGGCGGAAGACGACTCGTCCGCCTCTGCTGCTGCTGCGGCTGCGGCGACGGCTGCAGCTGCGGCGGCTGCGGCTGGCGCGGGTCCGACGGCAACACCGGCGACGGCTGAGACGGATGCTCGGCTGCACCTGTCAGGGTCCCCGCGTCAGCACCACTACTAGGTGACCCAACTCCAGCACCACCTACACCCGCACCCCCACCCCCGTCGCCACGTCCAGCCTTGGGGCGGCGACCCTTCCCCGGACGAATCTGTGCGGCAGCGGCAGTCTCAGCCATAGTAGTAGAACCGTCGGAGAAGGTGCACTGAGCGGGGGCACAACCCTGAAAGATAGGGACCGGCACAGTACCGCTGGTCTCAGCGATAGAGCGGTGGCGGGCCTCTATAGCGGACAGGGTGTCAACAAAGTCAGTGAGGGTAAGGTCTGCTGGGTGGACGCTAAGAAATCGGTCACGGGCAGTGGCAAGACGGTCAGGGAGGCGGGTGGCTAGCAGGTAGAGAGTAGAGGTGAGGGGCGGCTGGTGGGCTAGAAGCTGTGTGGGGGTGCAGGCAGCACGCCAGGTCTCGTCTATGGTGCGCAGGTGAGCGGCCAGGTCGGCGACAGTGGGGAACGACGCAAGGTCAGGAAAGAGCATGGGGAGGATCAGACGACCGACCGAGGCAGCAGGCAGGGTGGAAAAGCGCTAGACAACAGCATCTAGGAAAGCCTGGGCAGTGGTGATAGACCTGAAGCGAGGTCGCTCGGACAGGGGGAGGGCATTGCTAATAGCAAGCTGTGCAACAGCGTCACGGGACAGCCAGACAGAGCGAGCAAGGGCAGCGGCTGCAGCGGACTCACGCTCAGCGGACGAGGGGTTAGGAGACAGGGCAGCGGGGGGGTCAGGGCAGGGGAGGGTACCATCAAGATGGACAGATAGCGAGTGGCCATCCTGCCGCTGACCAGTGAGATGGCGACGGAGGTCAGCAAGCCACGCATCAAACTCAATCGGCTGGCCCTCAGCGTCAAAGCAAAGCACTGCCGCCATGAGTGACAATAGAGGGCAGTGTAGAGTACGACAGTGCGGTGCAGTGCTGTGCAGTGCGGTGTAGTACGGTGCTGTGCGGTGCAGTGCGGTACAGTGCGGTATAGTGCGGTACAAAGCAGTGCTGTGCGGTACAGTGCGGTGCAGTGCGGTTCAAAGCGGTGCAGTGCGACCAGGGACAGCCGCGACGGCGGCCAGGGATAGCTGCGACGGCGGCAAGGGGCGGTCGCGACGGCAGGAGCGACCGTGAGGCGGCTGGAGACGGCAGTGGCGGCGGCTAGGGGCGGCCACGACGGCGAGGGGCGGCCGGGACGACTAGGGGCGGCCGAGGGACGGCAGGAAGCGGCCGCGACGGTGGCTAGAAGCAGCCGCGACGGCTAGGGGCGGGCTCAAACGACCAGGGGGCCTGCGAGGAGCGGGCGCGAAACAGCCAGGGCGCCGGCTAGGAGGGGCTCAACGGCCAGGGGGCCGGCTAGGGACGAGCGCGAACGGCCAGGGGGCCGGCTAGGGACGGGCGCGAACGGCCAGGAGGCCGGCTAGGGGCGAGTGCGACGGTCAGGGGGGCCGGCTAGGAGCGATCGCGACGACCAGGGGGCCGGCTAGGGGCGAGCGCGGCGGTCAGGGGCCGGCTAGGAGCGATCGCGACGGCCAGGGGGCCGGCTAGGGGCGAGCGCGACGGTCAGGGGGGCCGGCTAGGAGCGATCGCGACGGCCAGGGGGCCGGCTAGGGGCGAGCGCGACGGTCAGGGGCCGGCTAGGAGCGATCGCGACGGGCAGGGGGCCGGCTAGGAGCGGGTGCGACGACCAGGGGGCCAGCTAGAGACGGGCGCGACGGCTAGGGGGCCGGCAAAGGGCGAGCGCGACAGCCAGGGGGCCAGCTAGGGGCGGGCGCGAACGGCCAGGGGGGTGGCTAGGGACGGGCGCGAACGGCCAGGGGGGCTGGCTAGGGACGAGCGTGACGGCCAGGGGGCCGGCTAGGAACGTAGGGGCGGAAGCGTGAGCGGGCTAGGGGGGATCTAACCTACTATGATACCATATCAGAAAGAAAATGATTGAACTAGAATGTGTGTGTACAATGATATTTAGACTAGGGTGTTGTACCCTCTTAAAACCACAGGCTAGAATAGCGAAGAGGGGGCGCACTTGAATTATTAGTTTTTTTAGGGTCAGAGAAAAGAACCCGATTTGCAGTGGTACACCTACCCGGACGCGAAAAGGCAGATGCTGCGATTTTGCAGCGCGCAACCATTGGCTAACGGAATAGAGCAGTCGTAACTCATCAGGGAAACACGCCGCGACAATCTCGAGGGTCGTAAGGCTCTACCAAAACAAAGTCCATGCAAACACCCGTCACCAGGGAGGTGTTTCAAGTGAGCCCCGGGTGTGCTATTGCTTCTCAGACGTAGGAGAACCCGGCACCTACGCTAGCTGAGCCCAGCTCCCCAGCCTTTTCCTTAGTCTGAAAAAAAAAATCGGTGCGCGAACGGGCAAGAGCAGACCCCCTTATGTGTATGACATTTTTTATCGCACAAAAAATACTGTGCCGTGCAACAGCGGCGGCACGTAGAGGCAAAAATGCTATAGGCAAGGTGGAAAGGCCTAGGTGTACACACGTAATACCCTCTTACGGGGGGAAAAGGGGGAAGGTGTGGAGAATGGGCGGGGAGGGATGGGGGTAAGAGGTGCGCGGAATGTGTGAGACACGTGGTAAGAATGGGAAAATTAGGCGAACGTGCAAGGAGAGACGGGAGCGCAGATAGGGGAAAGAGGCGAGGGGAAATAGGGCGGAATGAAGGGGGGAGAAGGCGGAATGAAGGGGAAAGAAAGCGAAATGAAGGGGAGAGAAGGCGGAATGAAGGGGAGAGATGGCGGAATGAAGGGGGGAGAAGGCGGAATGAAGGGGAAAGAAGGCGAAATGAAGGGGAGAGAAGGTGGAATGAAGGGAGAGATGGCGGAATGAAGGGGGGAGAAGGCGGAATGCAGGGGTAAGAGGGCAGAATGAGGGGGGGAGAAGGCGGAATGAAGGGGAAAGACGGCGGAATGAGGGGGAAAGAAGGCGGGCGAAAGGGGAGAGAACGCCGAATGAAGGGGAGAGCAGGCGGAATGATGGGGAGAGAAGGCGGAATGCAGAGGAGAGAGGGCGGAATGAAGGGGAAAGAGGGCGGAATGAAGGGGAAAGAAGGCGTGCGAAGGGGAGGGAAGGCGGAATGAAGGGGGGAGAAGGCGGAATGAAGGGGAAAGAGGGCGGAATGAAGGGGGAGAAGGCGGAATGAAGGGGAAATAGGGCGGAATGAAGGGGGGAGAAGGCGGAATGAAGGGGGGAGAAGGCGGAATGCATAGGAGAGAAGGCGGAATGAAGGGGAGAGATGGCGGAATGAAGGGGGGAGAAGGCGGAATGCATAGGAGAGAAGGCGGAATGAAGGGGAGAGATGGCGGAATGAAGGGGGGAGAAGGCGGAATGCAAAGGAGAGAAGGCGGAATGAAGGGGAGAGATGGCGGAATGAAGGGGGGAGAAGGCGGAATGCAGGGGAAAGAGGGCGGAATGAGGGGGGAGAAGGCGGAATGAGGGGAAAGAAGGCGGGCGAAAGGGGATTGAACGCCGAATGAAGGGGAGAGCAGGCGGAATGATGGGGAGAGAAGGCGGAATGATGAGGAGAGAAGACGGAATGCAGGGGGGAGAAGGCGGAATGAAGGGGAGAGATGGCGGAATGAAGGGGGAGAAGGCGGAATGAAGGGGAAAGAAGGCGAAATGAAGGGGAGAGAAGGCGGAATGAAGGGGAGAGATGGCGGAATGAAGGGGGAGAAGGCGGAATGCAGGGGAAAGAGGCGGAATGAGGGGGGAGAAGGCGGAATGAAGGGGAAAGAAGGCGGAATGAGGGGGAAAGAAGGCGGGCGAAAGGGGAGAGAACGCCGAATGAAGGGGAGAGCAGGCGGAATGATGGGGAGAGAAGGCGGAATGCAGAGGAGAGAGGGCGGAATGAAGGGGAAAGAGGGCGGAATGAAGGGGAAAGAAGGCGTGCGAAGGGGAGGAAGGCGGAATGAAGGGGGAGAAGGCGGAATGAAGGGGAAAGAGGGCGGAATGAAGGGGGGAGAAGGCGGAATGAAGGGGAAATAGGGCGGAATGAAGGGGGGAGAAGGCGGAATGAAGGGGGGAGAAGGCGGAATGCATAGGAGAGAAGGCGGAATGAAGGGGAGAGATGGCGGAATGAAGGGGGGAGAAGGCGGAATGCATAGGAGAGAAGGCGGAATGAAGGGGAGAGATGGCGGAATGAAGGGGGGAGAAGGCGGAATGCATAGGAGAGAAGGCGGAATGAAGGGGAGAGATGGCGGAATGAAGGGGGGAGAAGGCGGAATGCAGGGGAAAGAGGGCGGAATGAGGGGGGGAGAAGGCGGAATGAGGGGGAAAGAAGGCGGGCGAAAGGGGATTGAACGCCGAATGAAGGGGAGAGCAGGCGGAATGATGGGAGAGAAGGCGGAATGATGAGGAGAGAAGACGGAATGCAGGGGACAGAAGGCGGAACGAAGGGGAGAGAAGGCAGAATGAAGGGGGGAGAAGGCGGAATGAAGGGGAAAGAAGGCGAAATGAAGGGGGGAGAAGGCGGAATGAGGGGGAGAGAAGGCGGGCGAAAGGGGAGAGAACGCTGAATGAAGGGGAGAGATGGCGGAATGATGGGGGAGAGAAGGCGGAATGAAGGGGGGAGAAGGCGGAATGCAGAGGAGAGAGGGCGGAATGAAGGGAAATGTGGAGGGCAGGGAGAAAGGGGACAGGGAAAGGCGGAAGGCAGGGAGAGTGTTGGCAGAAAGATTGGGTCAGGGAGATGGTGACGACAGGGAGATAGGGGCAGGGGAATGTGGAGGGCAGGGAGTACAGGGGCAGGGGAATGGGGGAGACAGGGAGATATGGGCAGAGGAATGGGGACGGCAGGGAGAAGCTGGACAGGGGAATGTGGAGGGCAGGGAGTGAGGGACAGGGAAAGGGGGAAGGAGGGAGTGTGGTGGCAGGAAGATTGGGTCAGGGGGATGGGGACGAGAGGGAGATAGGGAGTGGGAGCGGGCAGTAGTGGTAGGAGAGTTCACCCTCCCTCCCCTATGTTCCCCCCTCCCATACGGTCCATCTCTCCCATTCACCTCCAATACGCCCACTGCTTTCCCTGGAGTGCCCTCCAGATTGCAGGTGGAGCCATATGGCGCAGCCCTCCCAGAACGTGTACGCTTTAGCTGTCCATCACGTAATGGGCAGAATGGCCAGACGTCAACAGACAGGCAACCTGGCCGCCGATGTACCTGGGGGAGCAGAAGGTGTCCGAGCAGCAGTGCTAGGAGAGATATACGAAGTGGCAAGGGTACTGCACCGACCACCCTCGGAGCTGGCAGCACCACCTCGACGGGCTGGGTGGTTGCCTGAAGGCTCACCTCCTGAAAAGCAGGAGGCATATAGAGGTGGTTGACCCCGATAAATGATGGATGGGTGATAGGGAGAAAGGGGACAGGGACGAGGTTGCAGGGTCGGCGTGTGTATGGTGACGGTGACAACTGCTGGGGGTCAACGTGTGACACGGTATTTGCCTGAGTGGTTGACAAAACAAGGGATGGGGGTGTCTGCTGTAGGCTGGAAAATAAGGGGGGCTAAATAACAGTGCATATTATTGTCAAAGCACGAACTTGTATTATAAATTATTAGGCACTGCAATTGTACTCGACATTGGGTCAAGGCCGCTGGCAGCGGCACATCCCCACTCCACTAGGTGCATGCCCGTAGGGGTGTGGTGCTATGCACACGAGCCCCTAATGGTAGCCAGAATGAGGCAGAACAAGCCGCACTTGGTGTCCATAACACGCCATCCCTATCAGGTGCCCGACCAGCAATTAGTACTGTCCTAGAGTCAGTGGAATGACAGTATATATGGAAATCCTCATCACGTCAGCAACGTAGATTTGTGTGCATGTCTCAAGAAGCAACCGCCAAGTGTCGAGGACAACAGGGTAACCATTACGTCATTAATCCAAACAGCGGCAAACGGCCGTGAGGCATGGATGCATCCACCTGCAGGCCTCACAGTGAGGATGGAGGGGGCAGGAGAAAAGTTAGCGTATGGGTGCAATCGAATGTGGAAGGCAAGGAGGAAGTGGGCAGGGAAAGGGGGAAGGCAGGGAGAGTGGAGGCAGGAAGTTAGGGGCAGGGGAATGGGGGGGACGGCATGGAGAAAAGGGACAGGGAAATGGGGGGGACGGCATGGAGAAAAGGGACAGGGAAATGTGGACGGCATGGAGAAAAGGGACGGGGAAATGTGGACGGCATGGAGAAAAGGGACGGGGAAATGTGGACGGCATGGAGAAAAGGGACGGGGAAATGTGGACGGCATGGAGAAAAGGGACGGGGAAATGTGGACGGCATGGAGAAAAGGGACGGGGAAATGTGGACGGCATGGAGAAAAGGGACGGGGAAATGTGGACGGCATGGAGAAAAGGGACAGGGAAATGTGGACGGCATGGAGAAAGGGGACAGGGAAATGTGGACGGCATGGAGAAAGGGGACAGGGAAATGTGGACGGCATGGAGAAAGGGGACAGGGAAATGTGGACGGCATGGAGAAAAGGGACAGGGAAATGTGGACGGCATGGAGAAAAGGGACAGGGAAATGTGGACGGCATGGAGAAAAGGGACAGGGAAATGTGGACGGCATGGAGAAAAGGGACAGGGAAATGTGGACGGGACGGCATGGAGAAAAGGGACAGGGAAATGTGGACGGCATGGCGGCAACACTCCCTCCCTCCCTCCCCGTCTCCCTCACTTCGTATCTCCCTCCTCCCCCCTGGTCCTTTGCTGCATACCTCCCTCCCTCCCTGTCTCCCTCACTTCGTATCTCCCTCCTCCCCCCTGGTCCTTCGCTGCATACCTCCCTCCCTCCCCGTCTCCCTCACTTCGTATCTCCCCCCTCCCCCTGGTCCTTCGTGGCATACCTCCCTCCCTCCCCGTCTCCCTCACTTCGTATCTCCCTCCTCCCCCCTGGTCCTTCGCTGCATACCTCCCTCCCTCCCTGTCTCCCTCACTTCGTATCTCCCTCCTCCCCCCTGGTCCTTCGCTGCATACCTCCCTCCCTCCCCGTCTCCCTCACTTCGTATCTCCCTCCTCCCCCCTGGTCCTTCGCTGCATACCTCCCTCCCTCCCCGTCTCCCTCACTTCATATCTCCCTCCTCCCCCCTGGTCCTTCGCTGCATACCTCCCTCCCTCCCCGTCTCCCTCACTTCGTATCTCCCTCCTCCCCCCTGGTCCTTCGCTGCATACCTCCCTCCCTCCCCGTCTCCCTCGCTTCGTATCTACCTCCCCCCCCTTGGTCCTTCGCTGCGTACCTCCCTCCCTCCCTATCTCTTTCCTTCCCCCTGGTCCTTCGCTGCAAACCTCCCTCCCTCCCCGTCTCCCTCACTTCGTATCTCCCTCCTCCCCCCTGGTCCTTCGCTGCATACCTCCCTCCCTCCCCGTCTCCCTCACTTCGTATCTCCCCCCTCCCCCCTGGTCCTTCGTGGCATACCTCCCTCCCTCCCCGTCTCCCTCACTTCGTATCTCCCTCCTCCCCCCTGGTCCTTTGCTGCATACCTCCCTCCCTCCCTGTCTCCCTCACTTCGTATCTCCCTCCTCCCCCCTGGTCCTTCGCTGCATACCTCCCTCCCTCCCCGTCTCCCTCACTTCGTATCTCCCCCCTCCCCCCTGGTCCTTCGTGGCATACCTCCCTCCCTCCCCGTCTCCCTCACTTCGTATCTCCCTCCTCCCCCCTGGTCCTTCGCTGCATACCTCCCTCCCTCCCCGTCTCCCTCACTTCGTATCTCCCTCCTCCCCCCTGGTCCTTCGCTGCATACCTCCCTCCCTCCCCGTCTCCCTCACTTCGTATCTCCCTCCTCCCCCTGGTCCTTCGCTGCATACCTCCCTCCCTCCCTGTCTCCCTCACTTCGTATCTCCCTCCTCCCCCCTGGTCCTTCGCTGCATACCTCCCTCCCTCCCCGTCTCCCTCACTTCGTATCTCCCCCCTCCCCCCTGGTCCTTCGTGGCATACCTCCCTCCCTCCCCGTCTCCCTCACTTCGTATCTCCCTCCTCCCCCCTGGTCCTTCGCTGCATACCTCCCTCCCTCCCTGTCTCCCTCACTTCGTATCTCCCTCCTCCCCCCTGGTCCTTCGCTGCATACCTCCCTCCCTCCCCGTCTCCCTCACTTCGTATCTCCCTCCTCCCCCCTGGTCCTTCGCTGCATACCTCCCTCCCTCCCCGTCTCCCTCACTTCATATCTCCCTCCTCCCCCCTGGTCCTTCGCTGCATACCTCCCTCCCTCCCCGTCTCCCTCACTTCGTATCTCCCTCCTCCCCCCTGGTCCTTCGCTGCATACCTCCCTCCCTCCCCGTCTCCCTCGCTTCGTATCTACCTCCCCCCCTTGGTCCTTCGCTACGTACCTCCCTCCCTCCCTATCTCTTTCCTTCCCCCTGGTCCTTCGCTGCAAACCTCCCTCCCTCCCCGTCTCCCTCACTTCGTATCTCCCTCCTCCCCCCTGGTCCTTCGCTGCATACCTCCCTCCCTCCCCGTCTCCCTCACTTCGTATCTCCCCCCTCCCCCCTGGTCCTTCGTGGCATACCTCCCTCCCTCCCCGTCTCCCTCACTTCGTATCTCCCTCCTCCCCCTGGTCCTTTGCTGCATACCTCCCTCCCTCCCTGTCTCCCTCACTTCGTATCTCCCTCCTCCCCCCTGGTCCTTCGCTGCATACCTCCCTCCCTCCCCGTCTCCCTCACTTCGTATCTCCCCCCTCCCCCCTGGTCCTTCGTGGCATACCTCCCTCCCTCCCCGTCTCCCTCACTTCGTATCTCCCTCCTCCCCCCTGGTCCTTCGCTGCATACCTCCCTCCCTCCCTGTCTCCCTCACTTCGTATCTCCCTCCTCCCCCCTGGTCCTTCGCTGCATACCTCCCTCCCTCCCCGTCTCCCTCACTTCGTATCTCCCTCCTCCCCCCTGGTCCTTCGCTGCATACCTCCCTCCCTCCCCGTCTCCCTCGCTTCGTATCTACCTCCCCCCCCCTGGTCCTTCGCTGCGTACCTCCCTCTCCCAGTTTTTTCGCGCAGCCTTGCCCTCACACTAGCTCATGTTCTGATTACTCAGCCTTGGCCTCGCCCCTTTTGCCCTCCCATCCCCCCTCCCACCCCCGTGTCTTACATTGTCTGCCCAGGATGGGTGCTTTTGGGTCGCGCTTCCTCTCGCGTGCCACGCCCGTCGGCCTCCATCCGTCCCCGTACTCCGCGCTGGAAGGCGTGCCTGTTTACTGCTGTGGCGAATGGGGACCTGCGCTCGACCCCGTCACGCGTGCGTCTCTAGATGCTTTCCAAGCCTAGGAGGGAGGGGGTTGCTCCTTAGCGTTCTCCACTGGTGGTGCAGCCAGTGATTGGCTTTACTCTCTCACGGATACCCAACTTTCGTCGGGGGTTTCTCGCACTCTTGGTGGGGCGTTTCTATGGGGCAGAGGTGGTTGCTACATTCCCTTACTCGGTATCGCGTTACTCGACGGTTACTGCTATTGGTGGCGGGGTTAGTCTCGCCCTTTCGAAAGCTGGTTGAAGATTGTGGCTAGGGAAGGCAGGTGAGTAGTTCCGTTGCGGGAAATCTACCCGTGAATGGACTGTGTCGGTCGAGAGTTGGGGATATTTGTTTCCTCTTGTGTGAGCAGGGAGGCAAGGTTATTCTTCTGAGTTCGGGGGCGTGTTCCCTGGCCTTGTATGATGAGGGAGTGCGCAGCCTTTGTTTCCTTGCAATTGTGTCGGCGTGGTGGGAGCTCGTGTGTTCCTTAAGTCCGAAGTTGCAAAATGTGACACCTTTCCCTTATTGCGTTTCGTGAGTTGTCTCTTTTTGTAAGAGCCCTGAACACATGCGACAAGATGTCGCTGAGGAGTCGCGCGCCTGGTTTATAACGTATCGCATTCGCACAAAAGTGGTTGTCGTGTGCCAGCCTCGGTTCATTTCTGCCCCCCCGAATCAAATTCGTTTTCAGAACAACTTGCTGGTTTCTCAAAATGTTTATCTATGCCCGCTGTTCAAGGGGGGCGCACTTGAAGCCCCCCTTTGCTATTTTAGCCTGTGGTTTTAAGGCACAATCCAGTATAGTCTACAGTAACAACCTAAGTTACATTTGACACCCGGGTCCAACTTGAAATTCAAGTTCGGCCCACTTGGTTCAACTTTCGGGCAGTGGGGACTGTGCGACTGGTCGCGCACTATTTGCGACTTGAGTTTGTTCGCGCCAAGTGCTGCTCATGCCACTTTTCCCACCAAACGAAACGGGGTTTCTCGCCAACCAATCAAGTAACTGCTCATGCTCGCGCAGTTTCCCCTGCTTGCATGTCTCGACAGTGAACCCCTCTGCCCCAACCAGTTTGTCCCTTAGTCGCTACGACGAACTTATGGGCCCTTTCAAATTGGACCCGCCTTCAGTATTTTGACCATTCGCTTTAAGGATAAATTGCCTATGGAATACTCCTGGGCGTAAAAGGGGGTCGTCTACAAGGCATATGACCTGTACTCGAATCCGCATGAAACAGAAACCAACTACCCTGAAATCCGGACGAATCAGGGTGCAGGGTGGTGGGGAATCCGGTAGAAACAGAGTTCCAAAAAACTTCAGGGCGGGTCCAAATAGTTCAATTGGGATTTTTTGACACGTTTTTACGAACTCGGGTACGAAATCTGAATACGGTCTCAAAATCGTTTCTCCCCCCAACCGCGTCCCATATTGCGAATGAAAATAGAAACTTGGCGCCGACTGGGTGTGTCGCAAAATTAACGGTACGTTCCAGATACCCCAAATCGTAGTTACCACATGTCGCAACTCACCAATCGGATGGTTCGTGCTGGGTTGGGTGGCAGGTGCGATTTGCCGTGCGCCACACGAGCTGTTCGCGAGGTCGTCTTGTTCTCGCCCAGCCCGGCTTGGCGAAACTCCAAAGCGCCACACCTGTCACCCGCCAAAGTACACCTACCGTCACTCGTATCGTAAACGGGCCTTGACTGGGGTGTGTACATTCACATACATCGAGCGTCCCGAGTTACGGTAAATTCGCGCACCTGTCCTGGCGAAAAAAGCGAGGTAAAACTCGGGTTACTTTTCTCGAAATAAATAGATTGTGAAGTATTTGGACCCGCCCTTAGCATGAGCGGTTGTGACTTACAAGGTTGACTTCCGAGTTCAGCTTTTGTAGGAACACAGAGAAAGACACAGTAGGAACTAGGCCGCTAGACCAACAAAGCAGGAGAACCACTCCACGAGTCCACGACCGCGTCGCTCAATTCACCCGACGTCTTAGCAGCACCATCAGGGTCCGTGTGTCTCTGACAGACCCCTCCTCCCTCTTTGTTACAAAAGGGGAATGATTATGAAATCCGTCTTCCTCCTACGACGTCGTATATAGTAGATGCTAAATATCCATCTCTGAGCTACACCGGTAATTAAGCCTCATTAAAAAAGAGAACGGTAGATTAGTCGGGGTCTCTGGTAGCCTATTGGTAGTCTTTTAGTATCATAAGTACGGTTATAGCCTATTAGCCTGTTCATTTCTGCCGTACTTGCTGTTATAGCTCGCGGGTTGGTCGAGGTGTAACCATGTCGGGGTGCGAGGCAGCTGGCGTGGCGTCGACGGCCGTGGCGACAGTCGCGATGCCTTCGCGAGAGAATGGCGACGACATGGGCGAAGACCCCAAGCGCTTCGACTTCGGGTTCGCCTTCAACAACGCCGATTTCGCCGGTTCGTTATAGTCGCATCCGAAGGTACAGTCACATCCCCAGGTAGTTTAACAGAGCGAAGGGTGCCGGCATGAACAGTGTTCTACTCTAGTAGCATGAACAGTGCCTTAGAATGGGGTGTGCGTTACATAGGTCACTTTCGAAGACTCTCGTGCGTGTGAGCCATCGATACCAACGGAAGCCACCGATTCCCCTCAGTAACCCTAATTGCGGGATGACGTGCCTAGCAGTTTCCATGTGGGGTTGTTCCAGCGTCCTTTTTCAGTCTCAGTTAAGGTTGGGAACCTAAACAGCTGAAAGGCGACGCGGCTTTACAATTGTAACGGATGTGACGCGCGGAATTAAGTGCCTTTCGTCTTTTGTTGATGCATTCGGGGTTCACTGGAGCCTTAAAACGTCCACCGTTCCTACCGCCGGCTAGCTAACCATGCCTCGTGTCAATTGCCCATTTGTTCGATTGTGGTCCCCGCAGATCGCATCGTGCAGCTTCGGATTTGCCCTGACGAAGCCACCACCCCCGCCGCTCCAGCAGCAGCGGAAGCTTCGGCGCAGCTTCCGGCGGCTCCCCATCCCGCGGCGGCGGAAGCCCCCTCTCCCCCTCCGCCGCCGCCGCCGCCGTAGCCGCCGCGTCTGCCGCCGGGAATCTAGGAAAGAGATGTTCTTCTATCGGGGGAGGTGCGGGGGGGATGGAGCGGGAGGGGGGCGGAAGCGACTGCTTAGATTTGATGGATATGGCGGTGGAAGGGGGGAGGGGAAGGCGGAGGGGGGCGCGGGCGCGGATGGGGAGGGGGAAGGGGGGAGGCGGAACGGGGAGGCGCAGGGGGGGAGGTTTTTGGTTGGCGGGCGCGGGGGTAGAGGAGCGAGCGGAGAGTTGTCGTTTCTGGCTGCTCTGAATAGTCCAGGTGCGTTTAGTGAACAGTTAAAGGTCGTCATCCATTATTACCTTTCCTTTTTGTTTCTTGCAGCCGTTCACTTTCCTGCTCCCATCCCCGCCCCCCCCCCCTCTCCTTCCCTCTCTCCTGGTTCTTTGCTCCCTAACCCTCCCTACCCGCTCCCTACCTTCAATTGCGCACTAACCAGCCGTACCGCTGCCAGCAGGTTTGGGACCGGACCAAGCGGCTGCTCTGACAAGAGGCTCGGCAGGAGGAGCTAGCCTCGGCAGCCGACCCCAGAGCCCCTTCACCACCAGCAGTGGTGCTGCTGGCGCTGCTGTTGCTCCTCCTGCTGCTGCTGCCGCTGCTGCTGGTGCTGCTGCCACTTCTGCTGCTCCTGCGGCCGGTGCTGGTGGTGGTGCTGCTACTGCTGCTGCCGCTGCAGCCGCTGCTGCCGCTGCAGCTGTTGTTGCTGCTGATGCTGTTGCTGCTGGTGTTGGTGGTGGGTTCGGGGGAGTAATGGGCAGAGCACCCAGGTTCGGCAGTTTGGGGGGGTCGGGGCTCTCACCGTTCGAGTCAAGCCAAAAGCCATCGGGAGGGCCTGGGCTGGGGACAGGCGCATGTGGCGGGTGTGGCATGGGAGGAAACGGCAGTGGAGGTGCAAATCTGGGCGGCAGTGCGTTTCTGGGCGGCGGTGGTGGTGGCGGTGTGACGATAGGGAGTTGTGGGGGGTTCAGAGTGGTGAATCTGCATCTGTCATCGGTGGTGCTGGCAGCCAAGTCTGCTTTCTTCCGCACACTCTTCACCTGCGGCTTCAAGGAGACGTGCCAGAACAACCCCGTGGTGCTCAACGTGTCCCCAGAAGGTATGTGTGTTACCCCAATTGTAGGGTGCTATGATCAATCCTTCACACGCTCTTCACCTGCGGCTTCAAGGAGACGTGCCAGAACAACCCCGTGGTGCTCAATGTTTCTCCAGAAGGTAACGCGTTGCAAACAGGCGATGCGTTACCAGAGGTTAATGCGTCAAGTAAAGACTGCATACCCTGTTGTGGTAATCTCGCCCTGCTTCCCTCTCCCTCTCCACCCCATCTCTCTCACTCTTCATCCCTCTCTTCATCCATTGCCCGCAGAGGAGGCTTTGAGTCGGCTCAATAGTCAACTAGTCTCGCACTGCTTACCTCTCCCCACCCACCCCATCTCTCTCCACTCTTCATCCCGCTCATCATCTGTTGCGCACAGAGGAGGTGCCAGTGACTGATCTCCTGTGGTTGCTCTACACAGGCGACATGCAGGACGGAAGCACGGACCCCAGCTAGACTCATACTCCTCGTACCCCTCTCCCGCATGCGCCCGTTGCCCACCATTTCTCTCTCTTTCTCTCTCTTTCTCTCTACTGTTGTTTCCCACCAGAGGAGGGCCCAGTGATCGATCTCCTACGCTTTATCTACACGGGCGACATGCAGGAGGGCAGCACGGATCCAGAAGATATTATCAAGATGTACCTGGTGGCCGACAAGTTCGGGGTCGCCTCCTGCATGAAGATCTGCCTCGAGCGCCTCGTCAACCTCCCCATGACCGTCCCCACCGCCTGCCTCTACCTCTCGCTCCCCGACTCCATGCACTCGCACCGGGGGGTGGCGCAGCTGCTGGAAGCTTCCAGGGGGTTTCTGGTGGCGCATTTTAGGGATCTGGAGCGGGTGCACAAGGGGGAGGAGTTTTTGGAGCTGCCTCTCGTGGGCGTGCAGACGCTGCTGGCGAGCGACGAGCTGAATGTGAGGGACGAGCTGACGGCGTTCCATGCCATGGTGGAGTGGCTCAGGCACCACCACGACGATCTGGATGACAGGAAGTGCGTGGACTGTGCCTCCCTCCCTCCTCTCTCTCACTCTCCCACTCACACTCTCTATCTGCCTCTCTTGCCGCTGGTGAGTGACGAGCTGAATGTGAGGGGCGAGCTGACGGCGTTCCATGCCGTGGTGGAGTGGCTCAGGCACCACCACGACGATTTGGATGACAGGAAGCGCGTAGCCTGGCCCTATGATGGCTCCCCAGATATTTTATGCCCCGTATGCCCCCAATGGCCCTCTCCGCTCTCCCTTTCTCCATGCCGTGGTGGAGTGGCTGAGACACCACCACCACCACGACCTGGACGACAGCAAGTGAGTGGTCTCCTCCACCCCCCCCCCCCCCCCCCCTCCCCCCCCCTCTCCTCCTGCTCTCTCCATCGCCCTTCTGGCCTCTGCGGCCCTTCCTTTCCCCCCCCTCTCCATGCCGTGGTGGAGTGGCTGACACACCACCACCACCATCACCACCACCACCACCAGCACGACGACCTGGACGACAGGAAGTGAGTGACCCTGGTTGGTGTTCTGTCATACTCCAGTACCAATGTTTCCCTCGCTGTCCGCTCTGCCGCACAGCGGAGCAGCAGTGCGGCTGGCGGAGCACTTGCAGTCCTGCTTTTTTAGTCGACTCAAGAGCAGACTAAAGGCTGGTGGTGCTCTGAGGGCGGGGTGCTGATTTAACTGGCGTTTCCCTCAGACTGCCCTGTCCACCCCCCACCTCCAGGCGAGTGGCAGTGCACCTGGCGGAGTGGAGGATGTGCGCTGCGCTTCCCCCTAATGCCACATTACTGATGCTTCCCTTGATGCCCTCCCCTCTCCAGGCGAGCAGCGGTGCACCTGGCGGAGCATGTTCGTTTTCCCCTCATGACAGGTGGCGACCTGCTGGACGACGTGGTGCGCCGTCGATTGCAAATAGCTGCCCCCTCTACCCCACCTCCAGGCGAGCGGCAGTGCGCCTGGCGGAGCACGTGCGATTTCCTCTCATGACAGGGGATGACCTCGAGGATGTGGTGCTCAAGGCGGCAGAGATGGACAGCCCCGAGTGCCAGGCGCTGGTAAGGAAACAGTTTGGTAAGGGCATGGTGTCTTTGTGGTCTAGATTACCCGGCTCTAGGGTCAGGTGAGGGGATGATCTCGATGACGTGGTGCTCAAGGTGGCTGAGATGGACAGCCCCGAGTGCCAGGCGCTGGTAAGAAGCTGATAAGCAAGAGTGTTCTCGTAGTGAATGAAAGGTGTTGTGACTGTAATGGAAGATTGTGCCCTCTCGAGGACGTGGTGGTGCTGAAAGCATCGAGTGAGTGACAGACATTGTTGGTAAGGAAGGAGAAAGTGACGCATGATTGTTCAGCAGACTTTTCTAGTGTGGCTGTAGTGGGCCATGATGACCTTGTCGCAAAGCTGTGCTGAAAGCAACAGAGATTGACAGCCCCTAGTGCCAGGCGCTGGTGAGGGAATGAGTTGGCGAGGCAGTGATTGCACCGTGCAGCCAGCCGGACTCATACTGCACAAGCTGTGAGGTCGATATGTGCTTGATATGATATATGTGATCCGTACGTGCGTGGTATTTTTGAGTCGACTCAAAAGTCAGCTCATACGTGCGTGGTATGGTCTGTGATTGGTTGGTTGGTATATGCTGGTTTCTCGAATTCTGCCTGTTGTGCTGCCGACTATGGCTGATAAGCGAGACAGCTGCCATGCACTGACTGATGCCTCCTGTCCCCCCTCCCCCACCCCCCCCCACCCCCCCTGTTTCTTCCGCTCCATCCCTCTCCATCCCTCTCCATCCCTCTCCACCCCCTCCTCCATCCCCTCCTCCCTGAAGTAGGTACACGCAACGCATACAGCTTGGTACGCAGGCTGAGGCTCATGCAGGAGCGAGATGGCAATCCTCTTCCTTCCCCACAGGCACTTCTGGCAGCAACGGTGGAACCCTCTCCCTTCCCCACCCCATATTCCCCTCCTCCCCCCCAACCCCACCAACACCCCCCCCCCCCCCCCGGTATCCCCCTTCCTCTCTTGTCTCTTCGTCTTGCATGAAGCAGCCTGGTTTCGGTTCGGGGCTACAGCTTGGTGCGCAGATGTGTTCTATTTCTATAAAATTTCAAAATCAGTGCGTGGCAGATTACGGTCGACGAACGAGAGGGCTGTGCGGTTCACGAGGCTGCGGTTCACAGGTTCTGGCGGCGTGTGACATGGTAACGAGGTGACTTTTGAGTCGACTCAAAAGTCACCTGGGGGCGGCGGTGGAACCCGCTCCAGCTCAGCCGCATCGCCTCCTGACTCTCCTTCCCCTCTCTGTCTTTCACCTGTATGTAGGCGAGGGAGGCAACATGTTTTCGGGCATGCAGTCTGGTCCGAAGGCTAAGGCTCGTGAACGGGACGGCTGCGACGCACAGCCAGTTCTGGTTCCCTTTCTACCCCCTCAAACCCCCCCCAACCACCCCCCCCGCCCGTCCGTGTAGGTACGCGAAGCAGCGTGGTTTCGCGCGTACAGCCTTGTGAGGCGACTGAGGCTCATGAACGAGACGGCCGCCACGCACAGGCGGTTCTGGCAGCGGCGGTGGAACCGAAACTCTGTGGGGCATGTGTATTTCGACATTCACCTGGAGAGGTTTCAGGTGGGTTCTATGTTGGTTTCAGGTGGGTTCTATGTTGGTTTCAGGTGGGTTCTCCTTGTTACCTTCCTCCACACTAGCTGCCGCCATGGATGAATCTGACTCGGTTCGGATGGATGGACTTGAGGAACCCGCCCCCCCCCCCCCCGCCCCCGCCCCTGCCCCCCCCCCTTTGCTTTTGTCCCTCCTCTTCCCTCCCCTCCGCTCCCTCCTCTTCACGTCATCCCCTCCCCTCCCTCTCCTCCGCTCCCTCCCCTTCCCGTCCTCCCCACCCCTCCCTCCCCTCCCCTCCCTCTTCTTTCCGTCCTCCCCTCCCCTCCGTCCCCTCCCCTCCCTCCCCTTCCCGTCCTCTCCTCCCCTCCCTTTCTCGCAGGCGCTGGCAGTGGCAGCGACAGTGGAATCAGCCACGTTTGGGATCGGTGGGAAGCGGTTTTGTCTCTCGGCTCGCCACGGCAGGAGAGAGATGGAACAGACTCAGGCATCAACCGCTTCCCCCTTCGTCCCCCCTTCGTCCCCCTTCGTCCCCCCTTCGTCCCCCCTTCGTCCCCCCTTCGTCCCCCTTCGTCCCCCCTTCGTCCCCCCTTCGTCCCCCTTCGTCCCCCCTTCGTCCCCCCTTCGTCCCCCTTCGTCCCCCCTTCGTCCCCCCTTCGTCCCCCCTTCGTCCCCCCTTCGTCCCCCCTTCGTCCCCCCTTCGTCCCCCCTTCGTCCCCCCTTCGTCCCCCCTTCGTCCCCCCTTCGTCCCCCTCCCCTTCGTCCCCCCTTCGTCCCCCCTTCCCTTTCTCCCAGGCGCTAGCAGTGGCAGCGACAGTGGAATCAGCCACGTTTGGAATCGGTGGGAAGCGGTTCTACCTGTCAGCTCGGCACGGCAGGAGAGACGATGGCACTGAGACTCTTGACATTCACCTGCACTTGGAGAACAGCCACAGCGTGCAGCCCGAGATACAGGTAGGGTTTGCTCGTAGCGGCTGATACGCACACTGTGTACTCCCCTTTGGCCTGGCATGGGAGGTGAGGTGATGGCACGGGGACTCTTGACATTCACCTGCACTTGGAGAACAGCCACAGCGTGCAGCCCGAGATACAGGTAGGGTTTGCTCGTAGCGGCTGATACGCACACTGTGTACTCCCCTTTGGCCTGGCATGGGAGGTAAGGTGATGGCACGGGGACTCTTGACATTCACCTGCACTTGGAGAACAGCCACAGCATGCAGCCCGAGATACAGGTAGGGTTTGCTCGTAGCGGCTGATACGCACACCGTGTACTCCCCTTTGGCCTGGCATGGGAGGTGAGGTGATGGCACGGGGACTCTTGACATTCACCTGCACTTGGAGAACAGCCACAGCGTGCAGCCCGAGAAACAGGTACCGTAGCCAGTGTGTTACATGCACCCTTTACTGTCTGGTTCAGTATGGCAGCGAGGGGTGTTGGCACGGAGACTCTTAAGGTGTGCTGCCGCAGCGTGCTGCCCGAGGTTGTGGTAAGGTTGAACCAAGGCGTTGTGTGAAGCACAGTGCAGCTGTGTGTGTTTAGGCATGGCAGGTGAGACGACGGCACTCTGGGCATTCACCTTCATCTAGAGGACAGCCACAGCTTGCAGCCCAAGACACAGGTAGGTACAGGCAGTGCCTGGGATAGATGTGCAGGTGCATGTGTCTAACGCGGGAAGAACATTTTCTACTCCAGGTAATACCCCATTCGCCTCCCTCTATTCGATCTGGCAACCTGTCACCCCACCTCTTCACTCCGTCTCTTCCCCCCCCCCTTCTCTCTCTTTTACTGCAGGTGAGCTTTATCTTCTATGCCAAGCGGTGGCCAGAGGGCCAGTTTGACTACCTGAGGGACCGCGTGACCAAGGGGTTTGGGCGCAATGCGAGCAACTGGGGCTACAGCAACATTTTGGGGCGGCCGTGGGCCGATGTGGTGCAGGACGACAGCAAGTATTTCAAGAATGGCGTCATGTCGGTGTTTGCTGAAGTGCAAATTCTAGAGGACGCTGGGAGGGGGCCGGTGGTGGGGGGGTGAGTGAGACGATAACCACAGGGTGTTTGAGGCCGCTCTGGACCACAGGGAAGGGAGGGGAAAGGGGGTGAATGTGGTGCAGGACAACAAGTAGTTGACGAAACGGCATTATGTCCGTGTTTGCGTAAGTGCAGATTCTAGAGGACGCTGGGAGGGGGCCGGTGGTGTGAAAGGGGGGGGGGCTGGGGCATGTGGTGCACGAGGGCAGCAAGTACTTAAGGGACAGCGTCCTGTCGGAGTTTGCTAAGTGCAGAGTGGAGACGACTGGGCCGACTTGACTACCCTTATCGAGACAACCGGACTGGAATGCATTGCTTGAACAGTGCATACCACATAGCTCCTTAGTGTTCAATGATGTTCCTAAGAATTTACAGCAAGGTACTACCTGTTGGAAATGATAAAAGGACTTCAAGACGTTTCCGGAGTCTCGCGTGAGTGTACGAATACGCGAAGATCACAACAACGGGGATTACCGAGTCAACATTGCTACAGGGCCACCGACAGTTGACGTGGGTTGACGACACCCTGCAGAGGTTATGAAAGGGCAACGGTCGCAGACTGTTGACTGCGCAACCCAACAGTTAGAAGCAGAGGAGTCAAGAGTAGACCACATTTATCGATTCGTAAAAGGGAATGTTGTCAAACACATTTGTGTGTGATGTGGTAGACCATATAGGGCTGTTTGTGCCTTAGAGAGTACAGCCCCCTAGGTTATAATGCCTTGTACTCTCACATTCTAGTCATTCTTTCAGTTTGACATGGTATCATGAGTAGGTTAGGTCCGCTTCGCCCACCAGCGCTTCCGCCGTAGGTCCTAGCCGTCTCCTAGTGGCCACGCGGCCCCGTCCTCTAGCAGCCCCTCGGCCCCGCCGACCAGCGGCCCTGCGACCTCGTCCCCTAGCGGCCCCTCGGCCCCGTCGACCAGCGGCTTCGCGGCCCCGTCCCCTAGCGGCCCCGCGGCCCCGGCCCCTAGCGGCCCCTCGGCCCCGTCGACTAGCGGCCCTGCGGCCCCGTCCCCTAGCAGCCCCGCGGCCCCGTCCACTAGCGGCCCCTCGGCTCCGTCGACCAGCGGCTCCGCGGCCCCGTTCCCTAGCGGCCCCGCAGTGTTTCTTTCCAGTGTTTCTTTCGCAACACCACTACGCTGACGCTGCTTGCCGCTCCCGCCGCTGTTTCCTTGCCGACCCCTCCTCAGGTCCGGTAGTCGCCCGTAGCTCCACCACCCTTCCCTGTCCGGAGGTTCCTTCGGGCTCTCTTACAGGCCTGCACATCCATCGTTCTCTAGGAATCTAGTTGGTGTCGGCTGCCTCCAGGACCTTGGCGTCACCACTACGTTTCCTGGTCACGAGCGGTACGCTGTCTGTACCGAGGCCGCCACTGGTGCTCCCCTCACCACGTTCCCCCGGGACCCGATGTCTGGCCTGTTCACGCTAGACACTGTGCCCCCCCCGGTTGGGACGTCTCCCCAAGTGGCTGCGTCTACCCAGGTTGCTGCGGCCTGCTCGTGTTGGTCGCTTACTCAACCGAAACTTCTGTGGCACCACCGTCTAGGTCACCCCGCGCTCCCGCGTCTACGTCACATGTCTCAGCACAGTCTTGTCCTAGGTCTCCACGAGTCGTTCACTGAGTTGCCCTCCTCCCCAGCGCCGCCGTGCACGCCCTGCATCAAGGGCCGGCTGCGCCGTGTTCCCCCCTTGTTCCCCCCCACCGCCGCACCGCTACAGACCCTGCACATGGACGTCTGGGGCCCTGCCCCCGTCCATGGGCCGCGTCGAGAGCGCTACTTTCTCGTGCTTGTCGACGACTACACGCGCTACACCACTGTTTTTCCCCAAGAGAGGAAGGCCGACGTGCCTGACGCTCTTATCCCGTGGCTAGTCTCTACGCGTGTGCACCGCTGTTTCCCTGTCTTGCGTCTTCACTCCGACCGTGGTGGCGAGTTTGCCTCCGGCGTTCTTGGTCGTTTCTGTCGTGCGGAGGGCATCACCCAAACGTTCACCTTGCCTGACTCCCCATAGCAGAATGGGGTCGCTGAGCGACGCATCAGCTTGGTCATGGAGGTGGCTCGTACCTCCATGATCCATGCCGGTGCACCCCATTTTCTGTGGCCATTCGCCGTTCGCTACGCCGCTCACCAGTTTAACCTGTGGCCGCACCCCTAGCAGCCGCAAGTTTCAACGACCCTTCTTTGGACCGGGTCCCTAGGTGACGCGTCTGCGTTCCACGTCTGGGGCTGCCTTGCTCACATTCGTGCCTCTGGCATGGACAAGCTCACTGCCCGCACCGTCCCCTGTGTCTTCCTGGGTTTCCCCCTCGCCTCGTCTGACTGGCACTTCTACCACCCGCCGTCTCACCGTTTCTTGCGCTCTCGCGACGCCACCTTTGACAAGTCCGTCTCATTCTACCACCGCTTTCCTCACCGTGGTCCCCTGGTTACTCCCCCTCTGTTCCTGGTTCCCCCTCCCCGGCTCGCCCCTGCTCCTCCCCCTTCCCGCCTTGCCTTGTCTGGTGTGTCAAACGTCACCCCCCTCCCGTCGGCTGTCCCGGTCGAGGAGTCTGCTGACTCTAAAGGCCGTGTGGCGCAGTCCTCGCTGCCCGCCCCTCCCCTAGTGTCTCCTCCTCCGTCGTTGCAGCACCCGTCGTCGCAGCCGCCGCCGCAGCCATCGTCACAGCCGCAGTCGCCGCAGCCGTCGTCGCAGCTATAGCAGCAGCATTTTGTCGACCCTGGTAGTGCTGGCGTTGATGAGGGTGCTCGTCCTGGGGTTCCTGTCGTGGCTTGTCCCGGCAGGCTTGGGGGTGGTACCGGTACTGGAGAGGTTCTTGGTTATGGGGGTGCTAGAGTGGAGTGTTCCGAAGTTGGCCGTGGGGCAGCTGGCGGTCCCGGTGTCGCCGTCGTGCCGCCGCAGCAGCAGTCGCCACCGGTGTCAGCCCTTCGCCTACTCGGCCTTCCGTCCCCTGACCGCGCATCTATGCCTCCTCCACCGTCTGCTCCCCTTCCTGTCTACGGCCCCGTGTTCCCTCCTCCGGACTCGTCTCCGGCTCGTCTTCCTCCGCGTTCTCCTCCTGCCGTCGCCTCCTCCATCCTCCCTTGTTGTCGCGCCTCCCCTTCTGTCTGACTACCTTCGTGCAGCTCATCCTCTTGTTCCTCAGCTCCTTGCCTCTCTCGTTACTGATCCATCTGTTCCTGCTTCGCGTCTTGATGCTCTTGTCGCTGCGGTCGCTGACCTTGCCTCTACCCGCCGCCTGGACTACGCCACTACTCTGGTCTCTGACCCTGCTCGTCCTCCGTCCGTTGGGGGTGCTCCTGCCCTCGGCACTGCCCTCGGCAGTGACGTCCTGGAGGACCGACAGTACGAGCTTGCTTTCCTGTCCGAGGCTGCTCCCCATCTCTGTTCCATGCTGCTAGTCCCTGAGGGTGACCCAGACGCTTTCGACATCCCGAACCCTCGCACCTCTGCTGAGGCCACCTCGGGACCCTGGGCCTCTCAGTGGATAGCTGCCATGGAGAAGGATATGGCATCTTGGAGATCCACCGGCACCTACGTCGATGTAGTTCCCCCACCTGGGGTGAACGTAGTTGATGGCCGGTGGCTCTTCAAGGTGAAGCGCCCCCCTGGAGAGCCACCTGTGTTGAAGGCGCGCTACGTGGTTAGATACTTCAGTCAGCGTAAGGGGGTGGACTTCTTTCAGACCTTCGCCCTGACCCCGAAGATGACCACTCTTCGGGCGCTACTACACGTAGCAGCACAGCGTGACTACGAGCTGCACTCCCTCGACTTCTCCACAGCTTTCCTCCAGGGCAGTCTATACGAGCAAGTCTACTTATGCCGTCCCAAGGGCTTCTCTGGTACCTTCCCCCCTGGCACCTAGTGGCTCCTCTGGAGCCCCGTCTACGGCTTGCGACAGGTGCCCTGTGAGTGGCATGACACGCTGCGTACTACACTTGCTGACTTGCAGTTCTTCCCTTCCCTACACGTAGCAGCACAACGTGACTACGAGTTAGACTCCCTCGACTTTTCCACTGCGTTTCTTCAGGGCAGCCTACACGAGCAGGTCTACCTGTGCCGCCCTCAGGGCTTCACTGGTGCCTTCCCTCCTAGGACCCAGTGGCTACTGCGGTGCCCAGTCTACGGCTTGCGACAGGCGCCCCGTGAGTGGCACGGCACATCGCGTGCTACCCTTGGTGACGTGCAGTTCTTTCCGTCCTCTATAGACACCTCGCTGTACCCTTGTACTCTCACATTCTAGTCATTCTTTCAGTTTGACAAATGTTCCCCTCGAAGAGCAAAACTGTTAGACTTGTCATATTCTCTTGTATTATTATGTGAACCTTGTATCTCTTTGCTATTATCAATCACTTGTTCTCACACACCTGTACAAGGGTTCAAGTCAAGACTTCCGCAGTGCTATGAAGCACTCTGTTACAAGGACTTAGCATTCTGAAAAGATCCTAGGGCTATCCTCAACCCAACATGGTATGAGAGCTATTCAAAAGCTACGCTCCTGGTACAAACTCCCTCAGTAAGTTTTTAAATCTTTGAAGATTCGCTTGCATCAACTTCAGATTATCAATTCAAGATTACAAGACATGGCGGCATCTAAGGGCGATAGATCCTCTACTGGATCCCCCTCTGTACCCTCAGTCTCTGGACTACAGACTGAGGCAGTCGCAGTTGCAGGAGCCTCCATGCAACAAGTGGCCTCCTCCACGGGCATAAACCCGATGGAGAAATTCTTCTCCTTCATGTCAACCCACGAGCAGGTCTTGGCACCTGCTCAATCAGCACACAGCAACACCAACAGTGGGGCAGTCCCCATGAGTCTCGACGGCGCATCGTACGCAAGAGGCACACAGACTATACAGCATCAACCGTACAAGCCCTCGCCAGGCTCGTTCACATTCCTGCCAACTCCCGCGTTGGCAGTGGACTCAAGGACAGCTGACAAGCAGTCAGACATCGTCACCATACAACAGTAGTTCAACAATATTATGAAACTACAGACATCCTCACCTTTCAACGGGAAGGACTTCTTCGCCTCGAGCTTCGAATTTAAAATTTTGATGGATGGCACGCAAATCCTCGGCTTCTTCACCGGCTCCTAACCTTTTCCTGTAAATATGACTTCTCAAGAGAAGAAAGTCTCCACTTATCAGTCGCTGATGGCCTTCACCATCCTCTTGTGCAACCTGATAGCAACGGATCAGCAAAGCATCCGGACATATGGCAACTTCGGCAACTCGGCTGAACTGACATTCTGTCATCTGAAGAGTGTCTACCAAGCAACTTGACAGCGTGACACAGAGCCGACTAATGGCACAACTCACGACAATCCAAATGCAACCAGGAGAAAAGGCCATGCCTGTTCTCTGCAGAGGTTTACACGACAAGCTTCTACAAAGCGGAGGACACTTATCGGA